GGGTCCGCGGCAGCGAGCGCGTCTCCGCCGACGTCGGTCCCCAGCTCCAGCAACCCCCCTTGCGCAGCAGGAAGGGGATAAATGAAATTATGGGGATTCTTTAAATCCCCCCTCTCCCCCCGCTCAGCGCGTCCCTACCCTGCCCTTGGCCACAGACCCCGGGGCTTAGTGTGTGGCAGGGGTCCCGCAGCCAAACACAGCGGCGATCCTGCCCAAGGAAACACCTATTTGGGCCAAAACGCGGCAAATTCAGCAGCCTCCGAGCCAAACGCGATTTTTAAACCCCCGACCCCGGCGTTCTGCCTTCCATGAAGTTCAGGCAGCTTCTAAATAAAGTTCTGCCCGACCGTGCTCACCGAAGCTGACGGTGGCCGTGACCCAGCCGGTACAACCCGCCGGCCGAGAGCGGCCGAGCCCGGAGAGCATCGCGGGGACACGGAGGACGGAGCGAGGGGGTGGCCAAGCTCTCCTGTCGAGGGGCCACCAGCTCCGGCGCAGCGCCGAGGTGGGGACATCCCCGATGGGGTGGGGAACGGGCATCGTGGGGGCCCGCACTTACTTTGAGCAGCTTGCAGCGGATCTGTGCCGAGACCATGTGGCTGTTGCGGAGGTTGCCCACCCGGAACATGAGGGTGAGCTTGCCGTCGCGCATGGAGATGGCGGCGTGCTCGCTGAACATCAGCGTCTCGGCCCGCTTCTTGGGCTGGGACATCTTGATGAACATGCAGCCGATGAGGAAGGCGTCCACGATGGAGCCCAGGATGGACTGGAAGAGGAAGAGGATGATGCCCTCGGGGCACTTGTCCGTGATGTAGCGGTACCCGTAGCCGATGGTGGCCTCGGTCTCGATGAAGAAGAGGAAGGCGGAGGGGAAGTTGTAGACGTTGGCCACGCAGGGGGTGTAGCTGTCGTCGTGCGCCTTGTTCAGGTCCCCCCGCATGTAGGCGATCACCCACCACATGGAAGCCATGAAGAGCCAGGCCACCGTGTAGGTGAGGACGAAGATGAAGAGGTTCCAGCGCCACTTGAGGTCCACCAGCGTGGTGAAGAGGTCCGACAGGTACCGGCTGGTCTCGCCGCCCAGGTTGCCGTGCTGCACGTTGCACCGCCCGTTCTTGTCCACGAAGCGCTGCC